GCCCTGGCATTGAGAGATGGATAGCAGCATTGCTGCTTATCCCCAGGGTGGACTCTACCAACTAGATGTCAGTTCACAGTCCCCTGCTTTGTGAAAACTAACAGTATTCTTAGGGATTGATAAATGCCCTCTGGGGGGCAAAATCAGCCCCAGCAGAGAACCAAAGGATTAAGAGAAAACCTCAGATTCTTAAACAATGTTCTTCCAAAAGTCAGCCAAAGATTTCCCCCGCCTTGTTGCCAACACATTCTACTTAGCAATGGAGAGGCCCATTGTGCCTGAAGGGTAGAGGTGGTGAACTCAGCACAAATGCTGGGCAGCAGGCTCCTGAGGGTTTTGCAGGCAGGGGTTATTTAAGAGCCATTGATCCTGTCCACCCACCTACCAATCTATCCATCCTACTCTCTATCTATCCATCCATGTAATGATCCAGGAATCCTTCCTTCTCTCCATCCCTCTCTCCATCCACACACACACCCATCCATCCATCCATCCATCCATCCATCCATCCATCCATCCATTATCCATCCATCCATCCATCCATCCATCCATCCATCCATCCATCCTTCATCCCTCTCCCCTCCCTCCCTCCGTCTGTCTACACATGATGCATGTTTGGCTCCTGCGTGCCTGCCTGGCCCCGTGCTGCAGATGACATGTCAGGACTATACCCAGGGTCCTTGAGGATCTCAGAGTCAAGCACGGTGGCTCTCATGGTGGTTGCCCCACCCCATGGGGCAATTTGGAAATGTGAGAGGTACATTTGGGTTTTTCCAATGTCTAGGGATGCCATTAGCTTCCTATGGGCACAGGCTAGGGAAGCTAATGCACCTTGCATGGCATGGGAGGCTCCACATGTGGACACTTCCATGGCCTCTGGCTAGTCCTAGAAGTTTGGAACTACCCAACTCCAGATCTTCACTTTCTTTTACACATAAACATCACCTGGTTTTTGTGGGATTTATTAAAATCCTTTACTGAATTTTTCAGAAGTGTGATTGCGATATGCACAGAAGGGAAACTGTCCTTTGTGTGGCTCAGACTCTCCTAGATTTCTTCACCAATTCAGAGAATCACACAACCCACAGGTATGCTGATTTGAGGCGCTCACAACCCCAGCCCACCCCGGGCTGTGGGTGTTTTCAGTTGTCACCTTCACAGAGGTTTCGTGGACAAGCCATAGACCTCGTGGCTGTGCTTTCTTCTGGAGTGCTTCCATCCTGAACATCACCATGCAGCGTATATGCTTTCCATCTCATCTTCCTGGATCTCATAGTTGGACTTGATATTGATGTTTTCACAAAGCACACGCTTGTGGAGCTGTAACACTCTGGGATGTTCCTTGTGGTGGTTACACAAGTCTATACGTGAGATGAAAAATTACATAGAACTTTTTGGGGTGATGAAAATGTGCCTGAATTGGTGGTGGTGATGGCTGCATAAGTCTGTGAATAAACTAAAAACCACTGAATTACATTAAAAGGGTGAATTTTATGGTATGTGAATTATGTCTCAATAAAGCTGTTAAAGAAAATAAAACAAATGGCTCTCAACTGCTTGCAATAAAATCCACACTTCCTACCCCAGTCAGAGAGCCCACCCTCCAAACCACTCCTGCGCCACTGCCCCCTTACAGCGGGGAAAAAAAACACCAGGTGCAGAGGCCACCCTCTGAACCACTCCTGCGCCACTGCCCCCTTACAGCGGGGAAAACAAACACCAGGTGCAGAGGCCACCCTCTGAACCACTCCTGCGCCACTGCCCCCTTACAGCGGGGAAAGCTAACACCAGGTGCAGAGCCCACCCTCCAAACCACACCTGTGCCACTTCCCCTTGCAGCGGGGTCGGGGGGGGCGGGGGGGGACTAACATCAGGTGCAGGCTCCTGAGATTGCCACAGACCTCTGACCTTCAGGCTACCATATGCACTGTACCCCTGCCTAAAACACTCCTCCTTCCTGTGCCCCATCACCCCTACTCTGTCTTATGGGGTCTTCACTACCAATAACCCATGTTTGACCCAAGTGCCCCCCTCCTATCACAACATTCCCCCCAGGTACATGTCCCCATCACAAAGTTCACCCCATGGTTGTGGCTGCCTGTTTACTTTGCTGACTCCCCATCTTGATTAAAAACTCCGTGAAGATAGGAACCGTCTCCACGTTGGTCACGACTGTGTCCCAGCAGCTGGCCCAGGGTCTGGGAGCAGGGACTCAGTGAACTAGACAGGCTCATGCTGCAGAATTTCATCAGAGTTTCACACAGGTCACCAGGGTGGCCATGTATTAGTCTGTTCTCACACTGCTATGAAAAACTGCCTGAGACTGGGTAATTTCTAAAGGAAAGAGGTTTAATTAACTCACAGTTCCACATGGCTGTGAGGCCTCAGGAAACTTACAATCATGGCAGGAGGGGAAGCACAGGGGAAGGACAGGGGAAACCTGTCCTTCTTCACAAGGTGGCAGGAAGGAGAGGTGCAGAGCAAACGGGGAAAAGTCCCTTATAAAACCATCGGATTTTGTGAGAACTCACTCTCTATCAGGAGAACGGCATGAGGGTCACTGTCCCCATGATTCATTTACCTCCCAATGGGTCCCTCCCACAACACATGGAGATTATGGGAACTACAATTCAAGATGAGATTTGGGCGGGGACACAGTCAAACCGTATCGGGTTGCTTTCTGGTCTTTCGGATTATATCTTATAATTCTATAAAGGAAGATAGGCCAAATATTTGGTTTTTAAACACATAGAATCAAATCTACAGCCTGCAGATTGGCTGCAGGTGAGCTGCCTAGAAGGCACCATCTTTCTGTGGCTCTGGTTCTTATGGGTTGACTGCACCCTGGACCCAGCTCCACACAGAGCCTTTCCCATACACTAGATCCTTTACTTCTAAGGACCTAAGAGGTGGGTGGTAATAGCAACCTCCTCCCATGAGAGATAGGACACTGGAGAAGGCTCAAAGAGGTCCCTTCACTTCCTGGAGGAACTCACAGCTAGCTGGGATTACACAGGTGAGAACCCAGTGAGCTCAGCCCTGACATCTCAACCGGGCTGCCCCACAGGAACCTGCATCTTCAAAGTGCAGTGCAAGTTCTTCATATACACAGACATATAATCCTCCATCATTGCCACTGCTCCCATGACAGAAAAATGAATGCTTCAACCTGTCAGTTTCAAGAACTGTAAATTGTTCAAGTTCCTGGATATCAAATGGTGACATCAAAATTACTTAATTTAATATCCTCAGTACACTCTTTCATTGGCTTTTCCCCTTCCTTTCAAATTTCTTATGGCTTATTATAAACTCGTATAATTACTTCCCAGGAAGTTTGATGTTCATTTCTTCATTTGCTTCTTAATAGAACCTTTAACCACACCGCTAACTTAGGAGAAGACACATCAATAGTTTAACTTTTAAGAAGTCGCAAGATTAAATACCAGCTACGCTTTTTCTTAAGTGTGTTATTATAAGGAGGCAGACTGGTTAGAACCCAAGGCTGTGGTATAAACGGACGGTGGAAAAGGTGAGACACGTAATAAGTATCACTCATTTTTCTCTTTTTGTCTCACTCCCTATTTCATACCTTCTCCATCTGTCAGTGGCCACTTTCTCAAGGTTTTACTGCCTGAAGCACAAGCCCTGCGAGGCCTCTACATGGTAAAGAAATGCGTCACAGAGATGAAGTGTCAGAATAAACCAAACCACACACCTCTTGCTTTCCTGGCCTTACTTCCATACAGTGCGGGAAAACTCTGCAGCAATTGGAAAAATTTAAAAACTGAATAAATAGCAAAACTCAAACAGCAAGCTTACCAGATGAGATGCTTCGACAACCATCTCCACCTTTGAAATTCATTAACTAAAGCAATTTACCGAGCCTGCCCCAGAATGCATTATTCACACAAGAAGAGCTGCATTTGATAAATATGGAAACCTTGACTATTCTGCAGAGTCTGAACGCTTTTACATAAATTCCCACTAGGATTAGCAATCTTTTCAGAAATCAGGCTACCTACATAAAGCTACTTAAGGTTGGCTTTTCTTCTCTATCAAGCAGTGTAAGAAAATCCTTAAACGAGGGACTAAGATCTATTACCGACAAGAGGCATCAGGCATCATCTCATATAATTTTCTGACACAAGAGATTAGTTCTAAAGACACCTGGAACTCAACACATAAGTCTGCTGCCTGCCTGTTTGTGGGCCTGGCCTGGGAAGATGAAAGGCTGTTACTTTATCACAACCCGAACCCAAGGCTCCGACAGCCGCGCAACTGCAGTGGAGCCGGAGCACGGGCTGAGCCAGCCTCACAATCCACAAATGAAAGGAAAAGTGCAAACGCTCTGGGTTCTCAGGCAGGGGCTGCAGCCGTTTTCTAAAGGACACAGAGGAGTGTATATCAGCCTGACAATCAAGTTTACATTTTATAAAGTGAAGTTAAGTGTTAGGCAATTACCTGGATAGTTAATTTTCCAATGGTTTCTCCCTAAATCATCTAAGTGCCTATGCATGAGGGAAGAGCTGGGAAGAGTCTACATTCCCTCCTCATTTATGTTGTACAGATCAGGCCTTTGGGGACAAATGGCAGCTTGTGCTCTGGGCTCCCTGGCACACCACGGCCTAGGAGCCCTCCTGCCCTGCCCAGAGCCCGCCCTGGATGCCTTTCTCCCAGCCTCCTACCCCCTCCTCCTCCTTTCTCCCACCTTCTACAGTTTTGCTTGAGGAGGCCCCCAGCTCTCCTAGGAAAGTCCACACAGACTCTCAGGGCTCCAGGCAATTGTTACCCAGTAAGCAAAGAACCTACTCGGAAGGTGCAAGAGTAAGAAATGCTGCCACTTCAGGCTTTGCCCCAGAAGCGCGTTCTCATTTGAACCTGTTAGCTTGCCTGTATCCTAGAAATAGTATTAGGATATATAACCTTATTACTATACCCATTTTGCAGATTTACAAAACTGAGGCTTCAAAGATGTGGCTTTAGGTAAGTAATAATCCTACCTGGGATTCATAGCCAGGTCCTCCTGCAGCCGAGCACTCTGAACCACTCCAATGCGGCTGAGACGCATCTGCTCCGTGGTGGCCTGTGCTGAGTTTCCTCCTTATATGCAGCCGCCTTTTGAAGCCAGGTGCCAAGCATCATGCCCATCAGGGTTCTGCAGCACCAGGCACAGCTGCCTATCATAGGGTTACTCAAGACGCTGCTGAAGAACGTGCACAGGTGGCAGGATGGCACAGAGGAAAGGAGAGGGTGCGGGAGGGAGGGAATAGCAGGAGAGCATCTATTCCCACAAAGTCCGCGCAACTGCAGTGGGGACTAGAATAGCTATTCTCCTCCTAGAATAGCAGGAGAGCATCTATTCCCACAAAGTCCCTCCCCTCTCCTGAGCCTCCAGGCCCCTCTCTATAGGGGATCACGATCCAGATATGTGGACTTCCTCACAAGTGGACTGTGTTAGATGCATCATGGCTATCTGGTGTTCTCTGATAGCACAAGGACTTCTCAGGGCCTGGGTCCACACCTCCAGGATTTTTTCAGCAAACTCCTGGGCAGCCACTGTTGTCAGGACACTGGGTTAGTGCAGAGAGAACCTGCTCTAGCACCTCCACTCTTGGAGCACAGCAGGACACTCTCTCCATTGGACAGTGGGGTTTCCTCTGCCCTAACCCAGTGTGCTGACAACAGTGGCCATCCAGCAGCTTACTGAATGAATCCTGGAGCTGTGGACTCAGGGCCTGAGACATCCTTGTGTTACCACAGCAAGCTCAGACACCTTCTCGGTTTGGGAAAATGATGACGGAACTGAACTATTAATAGGAATAGACACAGATGGAGCCTCAAACATATTTGCAAAACCCAAAGCATATTTCAATATCAAAGCAGCGTTCGCATCTGAAGTCTTTCTTAATAAATCCTCTGACAGATGAAGACCCAACACAAAGGATTGCTGATATGAACTGTATCTTTAGAGGTTAGGGCTTGGTGCAAGTCACACTGGACCCCAGCCCCCACTGCAGTGAAAAGAGACCTCAAGGGGCATGGAGAGCAGTTTGGGAGAACCCCCATGCCCCAGGGTTCTCCCTGTGATGGGGGCTCTTTCCCTGCATGGCTGGGCCAATGCATGTGCGGAAGGCTGGATCTGTGGGTCCTTGGAAGCATCATTTCCCCCTAGTCCCAACCGTCCAGAAGTTTGAAGGCTGGGGTCTCACCAAAACCCTGTCCTGGGGGATTATACCAGGAAGCCGGGTCATACAGAGATAGCCCTGACTCACAAACTTGGGTTAAACATTCATAAACAGAAGGTCATTCAAGAAGACTTAAAAGAATCCACTAAGATAGTTTTGACTGTAATGACATCATTGTCAACACCATAGAAATTAACATACCCTCAAGTTTCCGTTGTGAGTAATGGTTGAGATTAGTCAGGTGCAGAGACCAGCTCTGCTGCAAACTGTCCCTGCCCCCGCCCCCACCTAAAGGGAATATAGAGTTCCTGCTGGTTTAGCAAAAGCAAGGTATGTGAAAATGCCTTTTTTTTCCCATTTAACGATAGGATAATTGAAACAAAGCATCTTTTCTGACTTGGTTATGGAAATTACCATATAAACTACTACAAGATAACACATAATCTAGGCAGCCCTTAAAAATGGTATAGAAAATTATGTCTAACACAAAAATGGCCTCAGTATATGGATAAATTGAGGAGAAACGCAAAAGTATTTGGTATAATTTCACTTCTGTAGAGTTAATGAGAAAGCTAGAAAAGATATTTGTAGATCAAAATATTAACAGTGGTGATTTCAAGTTCTTAAGTCTTATCCATTTTTATTAAAATTCTCTACCATCAACATACGCTACTACTAAAATAATCTTTACAAAGCAATCAAAGTTGAAATTCTTTCTTATCCTGCTTTCTCTTCATACACTATTAGGAGATCGTACAAATTACCATTTAAGCAAGACGGACGATACATCTGATTACAAAATATCCCCATGTCACAGGAGACTAGAAGGCAGGCTGGACAGTCCTTATTAGCGGAGGGACTCAGGGAGCGGAGCTGCTGGGAAGGGTGGAGGCCAGCCTTTGCACAGAGCTTGGGAGAAAACATCAGAATCAGGAATACATAAATGAATGGCTTTAATTTCTCCCTTCCTTGGACCTGATGGTGGCTGGCCCAGCCATCCACACTGAACTTTGTTCGAAGGTCCCTTGGCCCCCCCCATGGAGATAAATGCACCATGCTGTGGGGCTCTGAGGACAGCCTTGGCTTGCGTTAAAATGCTAGTGTGGCTGGCACCAGTGCCCTTTGAAGCAGCAAAGATTAAGCCTGAACACCCCCGCCCAGCCCCTGGCACTGTACATGGTGGGCAGGTGCCACCCCAATCCCCAATTGCTTCCCCAGAGGCCGTGTGTGAAGTGACAGAAGTTAATGAGGACCCAGGTTTTAAAAAGTAGAGAAAACTCTGCATATTCAGGACCCAGCAGCCCCTTGACGTGACCTACTGTAGAATCAACACACTGCAGCTGGCTTCTAATGAAAATTTAAATGCGCCACAGCTTTTCGATTTTATTTTTCATGCTGTTGTTATTATTATTATTGCTATTTCTCCATCACTAACCTCGAAGATTGGCCTAAAGAAAGAAAGAATAGCCTTTTCAGAGTATCAAAAAGAAAACCTCAGATGCATGGGTGCCTATTTATATATTCATTACACAGACCCGCACGCGCACACGAGGAAAAGTTCATCATAACAAGGCTTAACACAATGGCGATTTCGGAGGCTGGGTCTATTTAAGTCATTTTTCCTACCCCCAGAACGGTGATAATGCAATACACAACATTCCTCCTGCTCCTATCACAGCACAAAGCCAACTAAATTCATAGTCCGCTTTGTCCTTTCAGAGATACCCATTATCTCCCCAGAGAACACAATGTCTGTTTATTTTACAAAACTCCCAACACAAATGGAAATAAAAAAACACATTACGGAGGAGATTGGAGGAACCTGCCTCCTGATGTATGATTAACCGCACTCTGTCGGGTCTGAGGAGCAAACAGCACCAAACAACCCACATTTCCAGTAGTTTTTCTCCATTAATTTCTACATTCTGCTCATAAAATGTTCGTATAATACCTTTCCGGTCTGGAAGAGTACAGGCTTAATAAAATTCTCTTACGGAAACTATAAAAGCACCTTCCTCATAGTCAGTAGAATGTAAAAACAAAGTGCCCAGCTGCCCGTGATTCCGGGGACACAGAGGGAATTAAGTGCAAATGTCTCCTGGGGCATTGGCTTCCAGCCAGCAGGGAGTCTAGAGACCAGCTGGGCTGGAACAAGGCAGCAAAGCCTGGGCCAAACCCACTTTGAAGATGCTTTTGGTTCTTTCCTACCTTGACTGGGTGTGGAAATCGGCATAGAAGGCCCCAGGGAAGAACAAGAAAGGCAAACAGAATGCTGGTGGCAGAACCCTGGGAAAAGCCCATGACCTCCAAAAAGTAAGTTCATGCTTCAGGGTGTTGGGAAAATAAGAGAAGAAGGAAAATGAAGGAGGAGGGAGAATTCAGGGGTAAAGTGTCAGAAAACACGATGAAAGGAAGGTGAAGAGAGGGTTATGGAATGAGGATATTATTTCCAAATGAGAGTCTTGTACATCATTATATGTTTTAAAAAGCAAATAAAAGTAGAGTTTGAAGATACAAGCAAAAGGCGATGCACACGGAGAAACATGCATGCACACAGTTATCCACAGAGATGCACACGGAGAACCATGCACGCACAGTTATCCACAGAGACGCACACGGGGAAACATGCACGCACACAGTTATCCACAGAGACGCACACGGGGAAACATGCACGCGCACAGTTATCCACAGAGATGCACACGGAGAAACACACATGCAGATGCACACACATACACAGACACACACAAAGAAGCTCCCACATACACATACATAGATACATACAGATAGACACACACACGCAGAAACACACAAATATACACAGACACACAGAAACACACGTACAGATACAAATATACACACATAGATGTACACAAAGACACAGATATTCATACAGATACGCAAATATACACACAGACACATGTAGACAGAGACACACGTGCAGAAACACACAAATATACAGACACACAGATACACATACAGATACAAATACACACAGACATAGATGTACACAGACATACAGATATTCATACAGATACACAAATATACACACAGACACAGATGTACACAAAGACACATAGAGACTCACAGAGACACACATGCAGAAACACACAAATATACAGACACACAGAAACACATGTACAGATACAAATACACACACAGACATAGATGTACACAAAGACACACAGATATTCATACAGATACACAAATATGCACACAGACACAGATGTACAGACACAAAGAGACACACACATGCAGAAACACACAAATATGCACAGCTGCACACACAGACACACATAGATATACACCCATACATACATACACGCACAGACACACAGATACACACACAAACACATATATGCACACTCAAAGACAGACACGCAGAGGAGACACACATAGATACACATGAACATGCACAAAGATAAAGAGAGACACAGCCACATACAGATACACACACACAGACACACACAGATACAGACACATATACAGATACAGTCCTGCACACAGAGACACAGATACACACACAGACACACCACACAGAGCTATCCACAAAGACACAGGCATAGATACAGACATACACACAGACACACAGATCTAGACACACGAACAGATCCACACAGTCACACCCCAGAGATAGCCACACACAGACACAGCACAGAGACACAAACATACACAGATACACACACACACACACACACACACACAGCCAAGCAAGACCCAGTCCTGCAGACCCTGCCTGTGTATCAATGACGCAAGTCGCAGTCTTCAGATGCATTTGTTTTAATAACTTAGTCAGCAGTGTTCTCTCAAAATTAATGTCTGCTCCAGCAGCTTGCAGCTTTCCTTGTGAAAATAATGGCAGCAATAGGGAAAGGGCTGTCGTGTTCCGACTCCAGGTACTGCTGGCGTGACAGCTGTGTGATCAGGAGAAGAAAGTATGCCAAGACAAAAGGAATAATTAAAATGAGCCACGAGAACCAGCCCTGGATTTAAATGTTTAAATGTTTTAATTTAAAAGAACAATGGCTCCTTGAAGTGTCTTCGCAACCGGTGCTGACAACCTGCCATTTATTAATCAGTGTTAAATAATAGCGGCTCAGGGTTTGACACCAAACAGCAGATGATGTGTGATGATCCCTAAAATAGCAATCACACTGAGGGGCTGATTCTAAACCACTCCCGCGTAACAAGAAGACTCTGGAATATTTACTGCATCAATTAAAGAGCAGTAACCACCCTGTGGCAGATAAGTGTGCAGGGGAGTGGTATTTAAATGCGCGGAGCTTCCCAGGTAAAGCGAGGTGCTTCACACCTACGCGGGGCATGGTGTCTCTCACCTAGAAAGTACATTAAAAACAACAAACAAACAGAACGTGTGTCTTCCTAGACACTGGTTGTCAATCATGGCTGCTTTGGTCTCTAAGACACATTGGCAACGTCTAAGGACATTGTGTGTTTTTTTATTATACTTTAAGTTCTGGGGTACATGTGGAGAACGTGCAGCTTTGTTACACAGGTGTTCACGTGCCATGGTGGTTTCTTGCATCATCACCCTATCGTCTACATTAGGTGTTTCTCCTAATGCTATCCCTCCCCAGTACCCCCACCTTCTGCTATTCCCCCCCAGCCCCCCCACTGATGAATGTAACTGAGGTTGGAGGTGGGA